CGAAGAATTGAAGTAAAAGCAGAACTAATAGTGAACTAATAGCGTGTGAATAGTGAGCTTATTGCTTATTCTTAGGAGAGCATTTCAACCCATCGTTCTCGGGGCATTTCACTGGTCCATGACGCAATAGAAGTGCACGCATACTTATATGAGATACCACAGAAAAGTTGTGGACCAATCATAGTTTCCGCTGAGGCAATATTTTCCAGTCTATCCACTGCTTTGTTTCCTTTAATACCTAAGTGTCCTCAGGCACCCAGCAAAGCGTAAGAACATGCCTTGTACCCAATTCTGACACAGAGGCAAAGCAGGACCACACGAGCTTTGAATTAAATTTGTATGAGTTGAGAGCTTGAGAGCCGGCCATGGGGGGTGCGGGCCCAGTGCGATGATTCAGAGGGGGGTCCCTTACTACAAAAAAAGTTGTATCCCAATAATACTAACTAATAAAAGTTTCAATGTATATTAGTATTTATACTCCCACTTTTCTCTTTTCATAATTGACAAAAAATGCATGGTTTTTTTAACAATTTTGGTATTTTGCACTAAGCACAGGGCCTCCCAAGGTGCGGGGCACTGGGAAGAAATAACTTGATTTAAGCATGAGAGAAAGTGAATAGTATCTTTTGGTTATGTTTGTAAATCACATCACATCAAATCATGTTTGCCACATGCTACTGCGTCCAACGGCAAACGCTTCAAGTTTGTAGAGTTGTCAGCTCTACCAACTTATATACCGGGTGATTCAAAAGCCTGGTTTTAACGCTTTATAACTTTTATACTATTAAACTTACCGCTATAAAACACACATCAAATGAAAAAGCAACTCAAAGAGTTTATGTATGCGTGCACATATATATGTAAAGACACATTATTTAACAAAATCGATCCAGTAGAACTGTAGATTTAATTGTTCAAAGTTAAAAAGTAATCTCCTATTTTTTTTCACCTCTAAAAATTTGAGGTTGCTTGACGTTTTTGGAAATAACTTTTAAATGGTGAGGAAATTGACCAAGTCCCGGGTCCAGGTCTTACCATGAGTACTACGGTAATAGCTTATTCCCTATACGGGAAATTCGATAATGCTAAGTACGCAAATAAAGAAGGTTATATAAGATTTTCATTAGTAAAACAAAACCCTATCAGTATTATTGTTAATCAAGACACAAATTTTGTCAAATAAATTAGTCAGAAACATATGCATATAATTTTCAACGTTAATAGATGATTTGTAAAACAAAGTTTTAGGGAATTTTCCATATAGGGAATATAGGGGAAGCTATTACCTAGGTCTCATTGTAGACCTGGACCCAGAAATGATTTACTTTTTTGTTTTGAGGAGAGGCTAAAAACACCATCCATTTAAATTCATATATATTTTATATACAGTAAATATTTATATACGTGTCTGTTAGCACGATAACTTGAGCAAAAATAATATGATTTTACAGAAATTTAGTATAAACGTGAAAACCTATACGAACATTTGAACGTTCGTCAAGTGTGGACACACCTTTAGTGTAAATCTGGCAAATGGAAATTCACTTAGTCTGCAGGTTTACTGCGACGGGGGTATTATTAATAATGTTCTAGTGTTAAAATGTAATTTGAACAAACGGAATTCATCCAGGTTTTTGTTAGTCACCAGTTTTCTAATGAGTACATTTTTAGTGGTTTCAGAATAAGTCCAGTAGGGATTAATTGCATTTATTTTCTTTTATTATTTAAGAGGTTGCACTCTATTTAACCTTAGTTGTATCTGTCCGACCACATAGTCCTCTACAGGCCTGTACCCTGTGCGTAAAACACTTCCAGCAAGCAAGGGGTGAGCCGGTACAGCACAAGGGTAAACTATACTGATTAAAAGTGGTGGCAGATACCACGATCCGAACCCACGACATCTCTGCCATTGGCCCAAAATCTGTGGCGTTACCGACTGAGCCAGTGACTCACCGGTACATTATTTATAGGTAGTGGATCTTTTTTATTCATAGTTTAATTTACTATTTAAAAATATACATTCTATCTTTAGCTTGTAACTCCTAACTATAAAAGGCAATATATGTACAAAAGATAATGTCTGTTTGCCATTCAAATGACAAATAAATAGAAAAGTCATATCTCAAATCATGACTATGGCTAACGTTTTTACTACCTGTCGTGACAACGTAACAGCTTCCGTTACAATTTAAGAGATGAACTACACTTCCCAGTTTTCACATTTCCAAAGATTATTTCACATATGTAGGCCTATGTAGTAAAGGTTGGATGAGAATCAACATACAGTACATTCAAAAACAAACTATGTTTATAAAGCAACATAGGCCTACCCACTAGTGAACGCTAGTCATCAGCTTATAATTAAATTTGTAATAATTAAAATTAAAATTAATAAATTTTAAATTAATTACGATTAATTTGTTAATAATAGTTTTTGATCTTAAACTAATTCATTACTATGATCAGGAATACATGATCCTGAAATTTTCTTAAGTTTTGGGACCTGTGAATAAAAAATAAAATAAACCAGTATGATTAGTACATTGACTGGAGAGTCAGCAAATGTTGGCAGATAGTCAGCCACTAAAAAAGTTTAAAACCTAAGTACTAAAGATACACAGGACCAGCATCAAGTTACAAAATCAACCCCAGCCGCTTATAAAAAACACTAAGACAGCACTCAAGTTTGTGATTCCTTTCTAAACAACAAAACTGATCATTCATCCATCCCCATTTGAGTTTCTAATAGTTATACCTATCTATACTGGTTTGAAAAAGTTGAGTTAAGTCCAAAAGAAAAGTGTATTCCACTTAAATTTGTTGGTTGCATTGGATATCAAGATGTTTGAAAATGATCCTTGATGGAGCTAACTACAACACTAGAGGAAAAGTCAGCTTGCAACTGTGTGGCAGTTTCCAAGACCTAAATCTGTCATTTGTCCTTATTGACATTATGAGAGATTGACCCAAAGTGACTCCCAAATACCTTGGCTGTGATTCGATTAAGCTCTACATAATTTAAAACCTTCTTGAAATTAGAGTTACTCAAGCCCGTCTTTACTTGGACATAATAAAGCTAATTTTTCATTGGGTTTGGTCTTGTTGGCTAACGTGTTCTTAAATATCCTTTGAAAGTTGAATTATCATTGTTCAGTGCCCCCTCCCCCCAAACTTATTATACTTCTGGTGTCTATTTGGAAGGACAATATCATCGGCAAATATTAATTTACTAGAAATGGTATGAAGTATTCCTGCAACATACACCTTATACACCTGTTAAATAAAAGCTATGTCAGCAGACACACAATACTGTACACTGAATATTTGAGGTTCTTCTTATATGAATATAAAGTTGGGAGGAGTGTTAAACAAAATAATGGAAAATTGCAGGAACAAATTTATTGCACTTTTAGTAGAAAAATCACTCATACAAAATGATTATATCACTTTCATTGAAATACTTACATATTTCATAACATGTTTCTACAGAGCTGTGAATTTTTAACTTTGTACCCTCAAAACCTCTTTTTTTTTAAGCAAAGCCAATTTTAAATTTTAGAACTGAACAACTAACTTAAATTTTAAGTACTAATTGTTTATACGAAGGTGGAGACTAGCAACGCTCTGAACTTTAAATACATTTGTTATAAAAATTAATGTTTGACTTAACAGTTTTGTTAATTGATTAATATACCAATGTTGAAAATATGCTAGATGATTATGGTTCCTACTTACAGCTATATACCTGTAAATAATAATTATTAATCATGATATGAAATCGATAACTAAGTTTAATCAGAAATAATGAGAGTGATTTATTCATTTTACTGTGCTTTATTGGCTCTGTTTTAACGAGCAACAAACAAACAAGGATTACAAGTATTAAACTTCAAACAACAATAACTAGTGGTAATTTAAAGTTAGTGAAACAGCTTTATCGGTCAAAATCTTTGATGCAAAACAAATAATACAACTGATATATGGTGAAATATTCGTATTGAAATTATAGAGGTATAATTAAGTAGAAAATATTAGTTATGAATAAAAATGTCGAAAAATACTGACCTAGGTTTCACTTAATATTTTTAACTAGTTTGTAGGTCTATTTCTATAATTTCACGACAATATATAAAATATCAAAGATTTTTTTCATAAAGCTATTTTTTTATACAATACGTGAAAACAATATCGATCTTTTATAATGTGATATGTCAAATATGATTTTCCTTAGTGATATATACCTCTAACCATAATATCACATCCTTATATTAATCAGATCAAATATAATACTTAAGATTACATAATATCAACTAGGTCATACATAACAAAAAACGATTTTTAATACAACATTTTAAATATAATTCTTACAAAGGTCATTTGAATAAGATCAGATTTATAAAAAGTGCTGATTTACAATTCCACTTTTAATCCACTTAGTTTTGGTTGATTTTTTCTGCTTTAATAAGAGGTTTTGGCTCATTAAATAAAAAAGTTATTGGTTAAGATGATAAAGTAAGTACCAATATTCCTCTTGGGTGAATTAGGTATTTTGCTTACAAATTCAAAACTAAGAGTTGTTAAATAATATAGAAAAGTATTGGAAATGTAAATAACCTATGTTTAGCAATTTATTGAGATTATCTTTGTTGTTTACCCTATTCAAATAAACCTTGTAATATAATGCTTAGGAAATCCATGATAATTTGCCATTTGCAATGGCCGATAAAGCTGAGTACTAAATAAAGCTTAATACTAAAAATAGATAACCGATAAAGCTTGATAAATAAGTATATGATTAACTTACTGGTAGACAAATCCATTAAACTTTTGTAATTATTTTAGCTGTTATAGCTTTTCATTTTTTTATCATATAATATAATATTCATGAAACACAGTTTCAATTCGAACCAACTCAGTATAATAGTAGGGTATATGAAAATAAATTACCAATAGTAAAAAAAAACATTAAACCTTGGTTATTATTCTAGCTCTTATAGCTTTTTATTTCTTTCAATCATATTATAATATTCACGAAACACAGTTTCAATTTGAACTAAAATAATATAAAAATAGATGAAAAGTAATTACAAATAGTAAAAAACCATTAAACTTTGGTATTATTATTTTAGCTGTTTGGATTTTCATTATTTTTTCTCAAAATAATTAAGTCTAGTAAAAAAACTATTATGCTTTGGTTATATTATTCTAGCTGTATAGCTTTTCCTTTTAGTTTTTTTATTCAAAATAACTACCAGTAGTAAAAAACCATTAAACTTTGGTAATATTACTCTAGCTGTTTGGCTTTTCGGTTTTTTTGTTTCAATCATATAATAAATATCCACAGAACACAGTTTTAACTTGAGCCATGTTGTGGAGTATATTAACCTAAATAATAATCAACAGTAAATCTTAATCTAGAATTTGACTGCACAAAATATTGTACTATACAGTTTAACGTGGCACATTTTCAACAGCCAAAAGACCTCAATATAGTCTTTACTAATATCGCAATATGATAATTACACAATATGATCAAGAACAACAAAAAACAGTATAATCGTATCTATATAGTAACACTGTTTAGGTTATATGTAAATTAATAACAATCGATGGTAAGATAGGACGTTAATTGTTGTAGTGTTTAAAGTCTTTAGATGAAAATTTCACGGAAGAGACTTGGGTCCAGTGGCTTCTGGCACATGGGGCAATTATTTTTCTTTTTGTAAGCCTCAAAGATACACTCTTTGCAGAAGACATGACCACACAGAGTGGCGAGGATTCGCAGATTTTCATTCTTAGTGTCCAACAGACAGATCGGGCATTGATAGTTTTGCTGAGATCTGAAACACCATAAACATTTTAATTGAAAAAACAAATCAGTATTCATTTTTGTTACTCCTGCATAGTTGAAGGTGATTTTGAACTCCAATATAGAAGACTCCTTCCTATTCGGGCATCGGTTTAAACCAGGCTACACTTGGCAGAAGTCAGTAGCGGCTAGCCCATAAGGACTCTCGGATGCCGCCCTCCCAACAATACAGAAATCAATCTCTTTTGTATTTATGTAATAAAAAATAATCTATCGTAAGTTAAATTAAATTACAATTACTTACGAGTACTTAATCAATATGATAATAATATGAAATGAAATAGTTTTAAATTTTGAATCCAGTAATGGCTGTTTTGCGATAGTCGCTTTCATAATGTGCATTGCGGACGGCGGCCACCTCCGTCCCAAACTCAATGCATGTAGTCTTATGGTAGAAACACCTAACAGCGCTGAGGGTGCCATGATGTCATTCCAATGCTTTACAATAGGGACTCTGGGGCAGAGTCCAAAGCTGCGCGCGCATTCATAAATCAGGGCAGCCACCCTAAACTGGTTAATTCTGCATCACACACGATTATGATAGGAAGAACCATGTTGGCAGCGCTGGAGCCTTCATCCACACTGTCACTACCATAAACAAAAACTAACCTCACTTCTTTCCATGTCCATGACCACAGTTCAGTTATAGTTTAGTACCAAACGACCTGTTGTTTTGTGATAGTGATAGTGATGGAGGCCTAAGGAAGGCAGCGGTAGTTTGTTGAAGATTGAAAGAGCTAAGTAGAAATTATTAATAGTTATACTTAATTGATTGAGTTAGTTAGTTGGCATTTTTGAGTCAATAAGTTATGTCTGTAGTTTTAGTATAGGCTAACCTAATTAACCCGAAAACTAAGTAAACTCACCATAGGTAAAGTGACTCGGACAATTTTAGTTATAAGTACTTATTCTTATAGTCTTAATATTACAGATAAATTTGCTGTGGGTTGTAAAATTGCTTTAGAAAGTCACCAAACGGCTTTAAAATTGTAAAATTTTCAGACCCCCCCCCTTGACAAGGTCCTAGAGCTGCCACTGGCAGAAGTGACATCTCTTTAAACGGACAATTTCTATCAGTACATCAGGTATAACGTGACTGGATCGAGAGGAAGTGGGAGGTACTGATATAATATTTCTAATGGGAAAGACTTGAGACCAGTGATAATATCTATACATACAATGCTCTCCAAAATTTAAGTAAAATATTTGAGTACGACCGCGTCGGAAAACTAGGAGAAACACTAGTTGCTGACGTTTCGGCTTCGTTGCAGATAGCCATCTTCAGAGCTGGTGACAGGCACTAACTGGTGCAAGCTTGCAAGGACGAAGGTTATAGGCGAGACGACTGTGTTGCATTCCTTAGGAGGGGTGGAAGGGTTGATAACGTCACGCTGGGCGTAGAGGCAAGCGTTTCCTGTGTTCTAGAATGTACTAGATGTTGGTGTCCTGATTCCTTAGCGTGTGTAGGATTCCTTTCAGTACAACGGCATTTCAAATCTCTTAGGACTGGTATCCAAGTGTTGCTAATTTCGAAGCCAGAGTCTTTATTACAATTGTCTACATGTTTCCTAATTTCTAGAGCTTCCAGAAGTTTCCTTTCGTAGTAGTTTGTAGATTGAGCCAAAACTTTGACTTTATCAAATTGAATCATGTGGCGTTCTTTGTTAGAGTGAGCTGCTATGGCGGATATGTCGCTATCTTGATTTTTTGTTGATCTTATATGCTCCTTGATACGTGTGCATATCTTACGTCCCGTTTCTCCTACATAGCATTTACCGCAACTGCATACTACGTGATACACTCCTGAAACGTGCAATGGTAGGCGATCCTTCACTGGACGGATGAGTTGTCGAATTTTGGCTGGTGGTTTGAAAACTGTATCTTTTCCGTTGTTCCTTTGGCATACGGCAATACTGCGTACCTAACTTTTTCAGTAGAAGGAGTTTTTGTTGCCCTCGGTCGGGATTGATGCTCTATAGCTTTAAGTATGGCTGATTTTTTGTAGCCATTCTGTTGCAGGGTTTTAATCAAATGAAGTTTCTCGTCTTCAATGTTGTCACTATCACATATCTTCAGAGGTTAGCTAAGGTGTTCAGAACTGCTGATTTCTGCATAGGATGGTGATGGGATTCTGAGTGTAGGTAGCGGTCTGTGTGAGTCTTTTTCCTGTACACCGTATGGCCTAAGCTTCCATCAGCTTTCTTAATAACCAGTACATCCAAGAAGGGTAGACATCCATTTTCTTCAGTTTCCATAGTGAATTGTATTTTGGGGTTGATAGAATTGAGGTGCTGTACGAAGGTGTCTAATGAATCTGGTCCATGCGGCCATATTGTAGGAGAAACGGGACGTAAGATATGCACACGTATCAAGGAGCATATAAGATCAACAAAAAATCAAGATAACGACATATCCGCCATAGCAGCTCACTCTAACAAAGAACGCCACATGATTCAATTTGATAAAGTCAAAGTTTTGGCTCAATCTACAAACTACTACGAAAGGAAACTTCTGGAAGCTCTAGAAATTAGGAAACATGTAGACAATTTTAATAAAGACTCTGGCTTCAAAATTAGCAACACTTGGATACTAGTCCTAAGAGATTTGAAATGCCGTTGTACTGAAAGGAATCCTACACACGCTAAGGAATCAGGACACCAACATCTAGTACATTCTAGAACACAGGAAACGCTTGCCTCTACGCCCAGCGTGACGTTATCAACCCTTCCACCCCTCCTAAGGAATGCTACACAGTCGTCTCGCCTATAACCTTCGTCTTCGCAAGCTTGCACAAGTTAGTGCCTGTCACCAGCTCTGAAGATGGCTATCTGCAACGAAGCCGAAACGTCAGCAACTAGTGTTTCTCCTAGTTTTCCGACGCGGTCGTACCCAGAAGACCAAGGACTTTGTGTTAGTAATTGTGACCGTGGAAGCCTTACTTCCTATGATGAAATATTTGAGTTAGTTTTTGAGTGATTCCCAAGTGATTCCTTAATCGCTGTATTAAGTTTACAAACATGGTTATTATTTTAAAACTTAAAATAATTCTTTAAAATAAATCTCTTAAAATAAAACAATTTTTGCAAAAATTTCAATTAAAAAATTGTAAAATTAAAAATAAATGTTGGCTGTATTTGCATGCAATTGCTGTAAACCCTCACGGCTGTAAATGCTCAATTGTGTATCCCTCACGGCCGTGTAGACATCGTAACCATCTCCTGCAATTGCGGCAAGATGTTAATTATTTCCTGCGGTTGTGTATACATCATCATCGTCCGTCTCCCCCGATCGCGGCAAAATGCTGAATATTTCCAGCGGACGTGTGAACTTAATTATTACCTTCCTTGATCGTGGCAATATATGAAAACATCCCGCAGTTGTGAGGAGATTATCACCATCTACCGTGAATGAGGCAAAATTATAATCTTTTCCCGGGGCTATGTGGACATTATCATCGTCTTGCGTGATCATGGTAAAATTCTGATAATCCCTCGCAGCCGTGTAGACATCATTATTGTAACTCCCGCGATCATGTAGACATCTTAATTGTCTCCCATGGTCATGAAGACATCGTAATTATCTCCCGAGGTCGTGAACACATCGTAATCGTCTCCCGCTGTCGTGTAGACATCATAATCTTCTTCCTCGGTCGTGAAGACATTTGGGACATTCAGGGGGGGGGGGTCCTGCTGTCGGGAGACACCGTAATTGTCTCCCACTGTCGTGAAGACACCGTAATTGTCTCCCACAATTACAGCAAAATGTTAATATCCGGCAGTCATGTGGAAATCATTATTGTCTTCCGAGATCGCGGCAAAATTCCTGCGATTGTGTGGACACAGGGGTGCCCAGAGGGGGGGGGGAAATTTTTGGGGGGCACTTATTTTGAGATTTTTGGGGGGGATATTTTTTTGCTAGCTGTCATGATGAATGTATAATTTTGTATAAGCAGCCCGAAAAAGTGTTTCTAAGTAGGTCACTATCACCACCAACAACATTTTGCCGTTCATAATTAAGATAGCTTCTAAGAATGGTAAAAACGGACCTTGCCAGACAATCCTTAATATACCAGTGTCGAATATTACTTGCTACATATGTTTTGGTGGTTCTTTAACTCCACCATCGTCAGGATTTAAAAAAAGATTCACTTCTAGAGGTGTCGTCAGAATACGACAAACATTTAATACAAAACACGAAACGATTACAGATAGGCCTGTCAATTCGTACATTGCCGTCGGCAGGACTGGAGGTAGGTAAAGTAAAGTGAATCAGGTTCAGGTTATGACCACGATTACTAGAAAAATACCGGTATGGATCATAAACATAAACAAATGATGTTGTTGGCACAAATCCTATACTAATAGCATTAAACATATGTTTTGGCAGTTTCATTTAAACAATGTTAATTAATGTTTATTTTCGGGCCAAAAACGTCATTTGTTTATGTTTATGATCCATACCGGTATTTTTCTAGTAATTGTGGGTTATGACAGACCGACGTGGTCTCTGGATTGTCGTCTGCGTTTTCAACAGCTGATATTGGACTATTGTAGTGACTGAGAAGAGTATTGAAAATATAATGGGATTCATAATTAATTGAGTGTTTTCACTAAAAAATGTTGTGCTGTCAATAGTTTTATGTATATTTCAAACTCCTCAAAGTATTTAATAAATTACCTTAAATGGTAGAATGTCGAGACCATCATTTATATCCAGCATATAAATTGGTTATTATTGTCAATAATTTTTAATGGAAAAATCTATTACGAATCCCATTATATTTTCAACACTCTCCTCCGTAACTAGAATTAGTCCAATATCAGCTTTTGATAACACAAACGACAATCCAGAGACCACGTCTTTCCGTCATTACCTGATTCAGTTTACTTCCAGTCCTGCCCGCGGCAATATACACGCGTGAATTTATAGGCCTATCTGTTATCGTTTCGTGTTTTGTGTACAAACGGATTG